CTGCTATGCGTGAGACTCTTGATGTTCTGGAGATGCTCGAAGTACGGAAAGATGACAGGGAGGTATGCAACATCATGCTTGGAGCTCTTCCACACGAGGACAAAACACTGCGTGAGACTCTTGTCGTGTCTGGTTCCACTGACCCGGTGTTGGTGCAGACAAAATTGATAGAAAAGCACCTTGACTTGTTGACTCAGAGGAAGAAGATGACACCGGTGAGAAATCCGACTTGGTTTTGATGTCTCTGTCTGGCATGAGTGAATGGAGTAGTGCTGAGTGTCTGGCAGCGATGTTCGACTCGGTGATGAAGCAAGTCAACAGCGGTGCTAAATTCATGAGTGACTGTTTGGTTGCTGCGCAGAAGGAGTGCTGTATCGAAGATTGGTATGCAGACACAGGCACTGCCTTTCACATGACAGATTATCTTGCTTGCCTGAGGGATGTGACGTCTTGCCACAAGACAGTTAAAGGAATTGGTGGCGTAATGTGTGAGGTAGCACTGACTGGCAATCTAGACTTGGTGTTCGTGTCTGCTGACAGCGAGTTCTCGGTGGAGTTGAAGAATGTGCTGTACTCTCTCAACTTGGGATTCAACTTCTTCTCTCCTAGCGCAGAGTTTGACGGCTCCTGAAACCGCCTTGGTGGGCCCGACAAAGTGTTGACTGCCTTCCGTGGAAATATTGTGTTTCAGAACGTCAATGGGATGCTTGTTGCGACCGCCTGTCGTCTTGAGCATGAGGATAGTGATGACTCTGTTGTTGGGTCGGTGTTGGCTGCTCTCACTCCCTCAAACCCCAAGCATGCAAGCAAGATGGATATCAACGAGTTCCATAACATTTACGCCCATGCGCATGAAGGCTTGCTTCGTACTACTGCAAAGCAGTTGAGTGTTGAGCTGACTGGTACCATGCATCCTTGCACGGGTTGCTCGATGTCGAAAGCGATTAAGAAAGGGATTTCGCGAGAAACTAAAAATAGATCATATAAGAAGTTGGGCAGAATTTTTGTAGACCTGGGAGGGAAGAAGGGCGTCGCGTCCATCGGGGGTAAATGCTACCCCATGATTATTAAAGATGACTACACGAGGCGTGCGTGGTTACATTTCCTCAAGAAGAAATCAAGACGCTGGTAAGGCTTTCAGGAGTTTTCTTGCGAGTGTGCGTGCTGATAGTTTGCCGTCATTGGTCGAGATTGTTAGATCTGACAATGAGTTTTTCTGGGGGGAATTCGCGTCCGTGTGCAATGAGCTCTTGATTAAGCAGGAGTTCACCCCGGCTCACACTCCACAATACAATGGTGTTGCTGAACGTGGCTTGGGATTGATAGAGGAGGCCGCGATGGCGGCTCGTATTCAGGCAAAGGCTTTGTTTGGGCATGTGCAGTTGCCCAAGACTGATAGGCTCTGGGCTGAATCAATGCATTGGGCTTGCGAGGCTTTGAACCACACAGCTTGCAGTGCGAACCCTGACTCGAAGTCGCCGTATGAGATGTGGTATGGTGAAGCCCGTCCTGCTAGACCGTATCCATTCTTGAAGCCGGCGTACTGCAGGTGGCAGCGACCCTCTAAACTGCTGCCGAAGGGTGAGAGTTGCTTCTATGTCGGCCCTTCGAGAGACCACCCGCGCGATTGCCATAGAGTGTTGACGAGGGGTGGGATCATTCAGGAGACGAGAGATGTGACGTGGGAAGCGCTGCCGTCTGAACTCCCTCCGCCGCAACCACCGCTGCCGATAGACCTAGAGGTAGCAGAGGAGGGAGGGGAGGGAAATGACGATGATGTAGAAGCTGAAGCGTGGCCGCTCATGGGTAGCGGGAAGCCCCACATTCATTTGCAGCCTAGCGCTCCCCCCTCCGGTGCAGTTGATGAGGTTTTCAGTGTTGATGCTGGTAGCTTAGGCCAATCCCCCTCTGTGTCGTCCGCGACTAACTCCCACGCTCCCTCCGTGTCTTCGCAAGATTCTGTTGATGACCAGGAGCTGGGAGGGGCAGAGTCGGTGGGTGATGAGCCTGTAGATCAGGGAGGGGCAGAGTCGGTGGGTGATGAGTCTGTGGGAGGGCAGGATAATGAGGCAGTAG